CAAATGCCCGGTATGCCCGATGGCCAGTCCAGCTATGCACACAGATGAAGTATACAAGAGAATAGAACATGAATACAAATAACCAGGGGTAAAAAAATGATTAAAAAAATTCACATATATGTTGTGTTTTGAGAGACTTTTTGCTGGTGGAGTCTGATATTGATTTTATGTACAATTCCACATCCTTAAGAAAATAACATTGGAGGTGGGGTGAGTGAGGGGCGGGGATTTAGCCTGGATGCTCTGTTTAGAGCTAATAAAACATTGGAGACATGAAGCCTTCATTCCACTAATGAAGGCAAGAAGCCAGATAAAGAACAGAATATGTAGAAAATACAATAATGAAAAAAAGTAAAATATTAACGTCAACGCCCACGGATCCTGACAGTTATCTTCCTGTTTTATTCTGAGTTGTGTTTCCTCTTCAGGATGATTCTAATCAGTCTTGTTGTTCCTCCAGTTGTGTCACCACACTGCGCAGTTTATCCAGCAGCACTGCACAGGAGAAAATATCAAGACTGTAATAATGAACAGAAACTTCAGTCTCACCCTGACAGTAAACACATGAACTCAGTCACAGAGTAACTGAACTCACCTCCAGCTGATGGCCTCTGGAAGCCGCTGTAGGCCCGGCACTCGTTGATCAGCTGTCCCAGTTCTTTAGGACAGTCATCAGGAAGCGGCTCTTGATACTTCTCTTCACACACCTTCTGATAAATGTCTTCATCTGAAAAACCTACGAGACATTTGAAGACACGTCAGGAGGAGAAGTCGATGGAGAGGACTCCAAATCTTAGTTTAAATCTTCAGTGAGTGTCGTTTAGATACAAACCTTCAAAAGGATTCTTACAGGTTACAATTTCCCACAGGAGGATTCCAAAACTGAAACAAGTTCAAAAGGAAATTTGATAATTTTACAAACCACAGCAGATCTGAAATCAGTAAAGTGTTCTGACGTCAGCCAGGAGCTGTTTTCACATAAACCCCCAACCAGAGGAGTCTCGCTCCGATGTAAGTCACTTCTACATCAGCTTCACTTTTCAGACCCACAAGCTAAGTCCACCTTTTAGAAAGTTTATGAAAGAGGTAGTGATGGGATTTCCGGCTCTTTTTAGAGAACCGGCTCTTTCGGCTCCGAACCGGCTCTTCAGGTTGTTTTGTTGCTTTAATTAATTT